CTCCTTTGTACATTTCTTTCTAGTCTTTATTCTATATACGTGATCAAAATTACAGTCATGCTGGAAATATTTTTTATATGTATTATGATCTTTGACAAGATAATTTATAATGACTATATAATATTTCACTATGTAGATTTGCTTAATGAATCACCCAATATGGCAAATTAAGATGGTTTCTAATTACTCGAGACTATGAACAACACTGCAATGAAATGGTTATAAAGTTTTAACCCTCCATCCACACTCCTCCAGTCACCAAGAATTCACAGGGCAGGGCCAACGGGATGAAGCAGACGCTCCAACCTGCAGAAAAAATGAGCCTGGAGGGTATGTTTTTCATATCTTTCTTCTGTCTTCTCTTTGATCCTGATTAGAGTAAATCTTTTGATGTAGGAAGTGGGAAAAAGTAAAATTATGACTTCGGCCAGGGGAGTAATAGGAAGTCTAGGTTAAATAATTTATGAAGATGGTTCCTGCTCAGAAATCTCCTATAAAGGGGGCTTTAATTCCTTCAAAATTACATACTACAGTGATACTCTATTACACATTGGCGCTCATGCAAAAACTCAGCAAATAATTGTAGGTAGGTAGGAAGGAAGGGAGAAAAGAAAGGAGGAAAGAAGGAAGGAGTTAACCATACCTAAGCTGGAAAAGTATAAAATAATATTTACCAGCAACCCCAATAGCACCTATGGCCACTCATGAAACTGAGCAGCAAATCATCCATTCACTCTATTTATTGTAAAAGGACAAAACAACCATAGCCACTTAAAATACCCTATCGGACTTGTAGATTAGGCTACTAATCTAATCTTGAATAAAAAGCCAGAAGTTTGCCTACAGATGCAGAGGTGTCCAACCTGTGGTCCATGGGCTCATGCAGCCCAGGATGGCTGTGAATTTGGCCCAACACAAAACGGTAACTTTACTTAAAACATTATGAGATATCTTTGTGATTATGTGTCATAGTATTTAATGTGTGGACCAAGACCACATTTCTTCCATTGTGGCCCAGAGACACCAAAAGGTTGGACACACCTGCAGACGGTCAAGAGGAAGGAGCCCAAAATCATTAGGATCCAACAGGACTCATACTTACTAGGGTTTGAAAGGTGGTGTGTCTTCAGAGGCACCAAGTAGAATATGGAAAGATCACACCACGGGGGTTCCTTCTTCATGAGACTATACAAGGGTGCTCCCCTCTGCCTACCTAATAATCCATTTCTGCTTACTATGCAGGTCCTAGAAAAAGCCTCCCACAGGTAATTCAGATTCCCCACCCCACTCCCTTTTATACACATTGTCCACAGAGGTCGAGTCAAAGAACTAGAGTAGATAAAACATCTGGTTGAGTGGGCTTTTCCTCTTTTGTCTCCCTGTTTTTTCTTTTTCTTTCTTTTATAATAAAATGACAGCTCCCCATTGTCAAGAAACCTGTTCAATATTTATTTAGCATCTCTGTGTATCAGACATAGTGACAGAAATGTACAGTAGAATCTGTATCTGCACATCTAAATATGAGCACTTCAAGTTTAATGAAGAAGAAAGAGCTCAGCGTGATCCCAGCCCCATCGAAGGAGGTATGTACATGGTGTTCTGGTCAAGTCTGGTGGAAGTTAGGAGCACCAGGGAAGAATTTCAAGGAAAAATGATGCCTAAGTTGAGTCCTTAACTTCTTTATTAAGCATACTTCAGAGATGTTCTAAGGACATATTTGGGAGGAAATTTTCTACCAGGAAAAAAAAGTGGTGTTAGTATTGTACTACTCAATTTTGTAATAATCATTATGACCATTATCACAGAGTAGAAGATTAAGTAATTTTCCCAAGGGCACGTAACATGCCCAGTGAAGATCAAGATCTGGAAATCAGACCTCCCTGATATCCAAGACCTCACTGTACTTAATGTGTGAGAAAACCTATGAGTGCATGTGTGTGCGCGCACACATGCATAATCATGTATGTGTGTAGAGAATGCAAGTGTGCACATACGTACGCACAAGTCTTCCTCTCTTCTCTCCCCAACAGCGGCCTCAGACATGCAGTTTTGGGGTGGGAAGATGATTGGGAGTGAGCATGCAGATATAAAGTGCTGTTTGGCCCTTATAAACAGCTCTTCCCTGACAGCCACTTAAAATGATGCTTTTCTTTCCATTCTGAAAAAAATAGTCAGAATCTGCTGACCGGAGAGTTACAGATCTCTTGAAGATAAGGGTCCTCACGGTCACACACCCCTTGGCATCCAAGAAGGGCTGCTCCCAATTTCTCTCCTACTTTGGGATCCTGACGAGAGACACTGTGGTACTTCCTGACAGCCTCCTGTTTTTCTCCTGAGGAGAAGGCTCCTCCCGGGCTCTATTTTCTGGCCTATATTTAAAAGTCTGTGTAGCCAAGGAGAAAAAGCATGGGCCTTGGAATTAGAAAGATTTAAGGTCAATTCCTACATTTACCACCTCCTAGCCACGAGATCCTGGGCAGATTGTGAATTTCTCTGATCTGTAAAATTGGAATAAAAATGATAATTCTTATGGCTATTGATTAGACAGATAATATAGCACATAGGTGTTAAATATACTTTAGTTCCTGTTCTCTTTCTTCACCTTCCCCCAGTATCATGCTGCTCCCTTTAGTACCATTTCATTTGGAATGTGATTTTATAAGCTGAGCCTCAGTGTGAAAACAAGTCACAGGCTCAAAGAGGACCAACCTTAACAAGGGCTGAGAGATTCGTGGGGAAACAACGGTCAATGATATTCCTACCTCCCACACCACAACCCCGGCAACACTTCACATTCCTCAGCCGAGGTCTACCCTCCCCGTCAAGCCCCTGCTTTGGGGTCTGAAAATGTAAGGAGGAAGAAGAGGACTAAGACGAAGGAAGGCAAGCAGAAGAGATACAAGAGGAAGAAAGAGGACCGCAGGGTGTGGGGCAGCGGTTCGGAACAAGGGCACAGTGTTTGGAAAGACAAGTAAGATCTCTGTGCTATTGAGAAGCTCTGTAACCTTACATAAGTTCCTTTCTGAGCCTCAGTTTCCCCACTTGAACATGTGGTTAATAAACTCTATCATAAGATTACCCTGAGGATTGCATATAATGATATGTACCTGGCAAGCATTAGGTACTCAATTAAAAAATACTAGCTAATATACACTGAGTGGTTACAAGGAACCAAATCTTAGGCTAGGGAGATCACCCATAGTCCTTTAGGCTTAATTACTTCTATTATTAATTATTGTTCATTGTCAATATAAAAAAAGTCTTTAAAATTTTTATTGTTTGTGCTGTAGTCATTCCTGCTTTTTCTTCCTTTCCCCACCTCCACCCAGCCCCACCCAAGAAAGAAATTTTGAATTCACATTGGAACCACAGGAGTTTTAGGGCCACCGAGTCCAATTGTATGATTTTAGATGTGGCTACCCAGGGCCAGAGACATGGTGATCTGCCCAAGATCACAAAGCTCCGGAGCAGCAGAACCTGAACTAGAAGCTGAGCCTCCTAGATCCACGTACAGAAGGTGGGACATGTAGCTGGAAAGGGCCCCTGGAAGCCCTGGTCACCCTTTCAGGAGTGGCGCTTCCAAGGAGACTGACCTAGTCCACCCCTCCCTGCACAGCTAGTACCCCGACAGCCCTCACAAGGAACATGACTGCTGTGCATTCACACTCCGTTCTACCATCAGCAGGCTCATAATTAAAGGAGAATACACATGCCTTTGGTTGCTGAGACCATTATTAAGAATAGGGTGAGCCACAAGCAAGCAGACAACCAGGCAGGAAAACCTGGATTAAAACTAATCCCCTTGCTTCACAGACACTCATCAGAGAGTGGCCGTGGGGGCCGCAGAGAGGAAGCACAGCCAGCTTCGGGGAGCTCGCCAGCCCTTCGTCTGCCTGGGGAATCTCCGTTTAGAAAACATTATCTGTTCATGTTTTTTTCTGATAGGCAGTGCAATGCTTTGCATTCATTCCCACAAAGTGTCAGAGAGTCTGTGAAGTAGTAATATCCAGACTTCTTAATGCATTTCCAATTTCAAAAATCAACTTAATTAAGTAGGGTTAATTTTTTTCCTGTGCAGCAATCAAACTTTAATTAATACTCCATTAAAATGAATTCCTGTGGGAACACAAGCATGCACGTACCTAATGAGTTTATCTGCCAAGGGTGTTGTTAGAGAAGATGCTAAATGTGCCTCCTCACTGGCCACTTACTCAATTTCAGAATGCCCCACATTAATCAAAAATGCAAAGCAATGGCAGGTTTGCAACCCTCCTCTCTGTGGGCACCCCTGCCATGCCAGCAACATAACATAATCCATCCTCTCCTCTCCTGCCTCCACTTCTTGAATAACTCCGTCAGGTTTAAGCCCAACTAACTTCCTCCTCTGTGGAGGGCAACTCAGCGCCCACACCCCTTCCTTCACAGGCTGTCACTCAACAATCAGGCAAGGTGAGCACAAACTCAGTTTACTATCACTCTGTAGCAGAGCTCATGATGAAGATTTAATCTTGTCTTCTTTTTAAAATAAAATAACACAGAACACACTTGCAAACTCTGTATGTTTCTTGTTGCAACAAAGAAGACCGAAGTTGTGCAGGACCTGGGTCTCTGACAGGAAGCAGCGACCAGAAGCCATAGGGTGTGTGGTGGAATGGGAGTCTCTGATCCTCATTTCCCCTTATGGTGACTACTTCTACACCAGGGACTCCTACATTTCTCCAGCTGAGGACTGAATGCTCTTGGAGACTCCAGAAACCACCTGCCTCTGCGGTGCCCTCTTCACCAGAGAGGAGGAGGAAATTTTGGCTCACATTGTTTGAGACTTAAATATAGGCTATCAGGAGCAAACTGTTATTATCATCAACCTTAGGTGGAGAGTAACCCCTAGACCACGCAGGACCCTGGGCATACCCTGAGGGTCATTATACTAGGAAACCGACCCAAACCTTTCCAGAACAACTCTACCCACCCAATGCCCCTTCTCCACTAGCCACTCTTACCTCTTTGGTGTGTGTGTGGAAGGAAACAGACATGTCCAGGAGAAGCTTCCGCTGCTCCACCCTGCGCACGAAGTCTTGGATGCGCACCTCCAGGTGTCGAGCTGCCTTGTAGATCTCCTCCGGGTCACATTCCCCCGTCTGCGCCAGCTGTTCTGCAGCTTCTAGGAGCTTGTCGGCATTGGTGTACGTATTCTGTCGGCAACAACAGTGAGAGAAATTCAACTTGCAGTCACGAACCAAGCTTCTTGCCTTTCCCCAGCCCACCAGGGGCTGCCCAGAGCTAGAGCGCAAGGCGTGGGCGCTGAGCCGACAGCTCCCTGATCTGGCACAGAGGAGCTGAGTGCTGAGCCGCCTGCTGCCTCCCAGCAAGCTAGCAGCCTGCCTGGCAGCTTGGCATGTAGAGGGCACTAGCTGAGTGCCTCCTCAGTCCCTGGGATTTCTCAGAGGTGGGGTGCCCTGGAAAGAAGGGAGGAGACATGCGAGAGTCCCCAATCCTCATCAGCTCCTTGACCCACCCGGCCCTGGTGAAGATCCATCATTGCCCTCACATCTCAGGCTGTAACTGCCAGAGTTGGAAATACCTCATCTGCAAAGATCGTCTGGGAAACAATAACTGGGAGGCTTGCCTGACTTTTTTGCTCAAGTTCCTTGCAACTACTAGTGTTTATCTTTAGAAACAGAGCTATCTCTTAGGAGGGGAAGGGGTCAGCAACTCAGGGAGCTGAAAGAAGGAGGTCATCACAGCCAGAGTGAGGATATGCAGGCTATTCCTTGTATGCCCAAGGAAGGCTTACTCCCCACAGCAAGGCTGGGGAGGAGTCTGGTGATTCTTGTTATGAGCTACTGCACGTACATGCACTTTCACACATACCCCTCCAACCCCTGTCTGTACCTTCCGTGGTATTCTCCAGAGCATTTTACAAGTCAACCAACTTATAGTTCTTATTCATCAGGATGTAACAGTTATTGCATGTATGCCATGGACACAATTTTTCCTTGGCAGGCTTCACTTTTAAAAAAAGATCTAATATTCACCAATTTAGAGCTAATGAATCAGTTGCACATACCTCTTAACCATTCCTACAGTCACAAAATGCCCTAGAGAGTGGTGAACAAGTGGTTATGGGTGATGCTGTTTCTGCTGAAACAGCCAGTATCAAACCCAAAGTGAACGAAGAACTGAAATGGGTTTACAAGCAATGACTGACTGTGTGGTGCTTTACTTTGCTCATGGAAAAGAGGCCTCCAGACTCCACGGAGTTTTTTGGTCTCACCCGAAGACACCTGGGTGTTGAAGGTTGAACTGCATGTCCTCCAAACTCACATGTTAAAGTTCTAACCCCCAGTACCTCAGAATGTGACCTTGTTTGGAAACAGAGTCATTGTAGGTATAATTAGTTAAGATCAATCTGTAGGGTGGGACTCTAATTCAGTATGACTGGTGTCCTTACAAAAAAGAACGCCATGTGAAGAGTCAGGACACACCCGAGGAGGCAGAATGCCAAGTCGAGCTGAAAGCAAAGATCTGGGGATGTGCCTACAAGGGGGGAATGGCAAAGACTGCCAAAAAACTACCACAAGTTAAGCAAGAGACATGGAACAGATTCTCCCTCATATCCCTCAGAAAGAACCAACTTTCCTGACACCTGAATCTTGGACTTACAGCTTCCAGAACTGTGAGACAATAAATTTCTGTTGTGTAAGCCACCCAGTTTGTGGGACTTTGTTAATGCAGCCCTAGCAAACTAATATACTGGGGTGGGAACTTTCAGAGGCTGCCGAAACACTTGTCTGTCACAACTTTACCAAGAGTGGCCTCAGGGGTCCTTAAGACATGCTATCTGAAAAGCTACTGCCCAAAGCAGGTGAGATGGAGTGGGATCAGGACTAAACAGGAAGAAAAGCCCTTCAGATTATGGGAAAACAGATGATCCTTGTGTGAAGAAAGAGGCTTTGTCAATGAGTTAAATATAAGGGTATGTCAATCCTGAAAGCAAATGAAGGCTGTACTCAGAGTTGTGGAAATTCCTGGAAAGACAGGAAATGACAAGCTGTAGAAGACCTCTGGGGCTGTGGGCCACCTTAAGGAAGGCTGTCCACGATTTCTAGGAACTATGCCTAGAGCTGATGGAAGAGAGATGTTTCTCCCCACCCCCCAGGAATTCCTCAGATCTTCCACTTTAAACTTAAGGGAATCTCAGGAAACCCCAAAGAAAAACAGAGGTTATAATTTTATATTTTCTGGCCAACAAATAAAAATTCATAGCAAAGCCAAAGGAAGCTTGCTTTTAAGTAAAGTTTGGGATCAAAAGATAAATAAAAAGCAAAACTTAAGTGCCCACTGCTTATAAGGTGGACAACTTTGTCCCAGTTTGCCCAGGACCTTTCTGGTTTTAGCATCCTAGAAAGCCTGTTGGTCCTGGGCAAATTGGGATGGCTAGTCACCCTAGCACACACCCAACACTGTACATATCTCAGGAGTACAGTTTATATTTATACACACACAATGTATGCTGCCTCAGGGGGAATAAAATCATTATTGAGAGAAATAATATGAAAACACATCAACAGGGCATGCAAGACAATGATAGATAATTAGGGATTAAAGTCCATGGATGCTAAGGAGAAAGTGACTAAAAATTGAGAAAAATAATAGCTAATAAATGTTAAACACTTTTTTCAAATTCCAAAGACCATTCTAGAGACTTATATGCATATTAACTCATTTAATCTTTGCAATAACACAAGTTGATAGAGACACCAGCCCAATTTTACAGACAAAGAAACTAAGGCACCAAGAATTTCTGACCAAAGGTCATATGTCTTGTAAGTGGCAGAACAAAGATTAAAATCTCGTTGTCTAGCTTCAGGGCCCAAGCTCCAAACCATTACACTATTGTTTCAGATGAAGAAGGGGCTTGAATGTCATGCTCAGGTGTTTTACTCCAAAGTCGTGGGAAGACCTAAACGGTTTTGAGTAGAAGAGGGATACAGTATATAGCGACACTACCCTGCCTATATACAGAGTGAAGGCAGAAGCCTGAGTATGGGCAGGATTTAGCAGAGGAGGAGGGCTTCTCATAAACAGGACTCTCTCTTCTCACCCACGGTACTCAGTTATCCCACACCATAGCCACTTTCATGCTCATAGTAACAATGTGCTACCAGGGGCATCTCCCTACTGGTTTGTCTGCTCCTGAAAGGGAGGTTCCATGTCTCATTCATCTGTGGTTCTCCAAGCCAGGCACTGTGGCCGGTACACAACAGGCACTTTAAACAAGACTCAGACATGGGAACGAGCATGGTATGTCTGAGTAAGTTGAATCAATAGGACTAAAATTGGAGAGTGGCAATATATCACATTAGATATGGAAGGGAAAAGCTAGATAATGGCTTTTATAGAAAGAAAGGTACAACAAAGACAAGTGGGAGGGCAATGGGATCAGCACTAAAACCTGGGCTCCCTGTTCTACCCACTGCCCAGTCCTTCTCCCCATCATAACCAGAAAAAGATTCTGAAATTCAGATCCAGTCATACCTCTATTCTCTTTAAAACTGTCCAGTAGCTTCTCATTGCCTATGAGGTAAAATTTCATGCAAGGCCCTTCATCTGACATCTGTTTTCCTCCTTCACTTTCAACTAACATCGCTCCCCTACAAAAAGCCTGTGCGAGAAATTGCTTACACTCTCAGAAACTCACTGCACTGAATCTTGCCTCTGTGCTTCTGTTTGGGATGTCCTTCCCCTACTTTTCTACTTGACCAATGCTTACTAGCCTTTTAAGACTGAACACAGGCATCACTCCCTCAGAAAGTCCACCCTCATATCCACTTTCCTCCCAAGGCTGGCTTAGGTGTGCTTCTCTGGGCTTCCAAAGTGAGCTCTTTTGACCCTTTCCAGGCTACCTGTCATACACCAAAGCAAAAGTTTGTGTGTCTTTCCTGCTTTGGGGCAGAAAATATCCTTTACCTCTTTCCTTTAGTGCCTAACATCAAGTAAGTGCTCCATGAATACTAAAGACTACATCAATTATAGACTACATCAATCCCAACCAATCCTAATATTCAGTCATTGACCTTCACCAAATATCTGGCACGAGCCCTTACACACTGGAAATCGTGTTCTGGTTTCTCCCACTTCCTGGCACAGTCCTGAAACAGGAACAGGCTTAGGGAATATCACCAAGAGTAGCATCCGAGCACTACACTGATACTTGTCATCACTCCAAATTGGGGCAGAAATCACAACAGCCTTCAGTTCACCTTCTAACAAAATTAACAATAGTTTCTGCTCCAGGGCCAGAGTTTGACCTCCACTATGAATGTAGTTCCTAGGCATTCTTTGGTTTCCCAGCTTCTTGGCCTCTGCCTTGGACTCGACCCCTTATTAATATTTCCCAACTGATGTGCCAAAAGTGGATTATGAGTGCTAGGATATCAATCCCTCTGCCCTTGAGACTTTCAAGCAGGGCCTGCGGGAGCCAGAGCCTGAGTCAGAGATTTGGGCTGCAGCTTCTGCTCCTCACTCCCCAGCCTCCTTCCCTGTGTAAACCAGGTAAAACGCCCTAGAATCTACCTTTCATTCTCCCTGGTGCAGCCTCGGCCCATTTGTTTTTTGCTTTTTCTTCATGAAAAAAGCAGAATATACTAGAATAACTTGTCTCTACAAACACAGGCATCCCAACAACACAGGTATGCTTTTAGATTCCCTGTGCTGAGACAGAGGGGCAGGGAATTTTAAAGGCAGGGGGTGGAAGAGTCAGTGAATGAAAACAAGTCTAGAGTCAGGAACTGACTTCCTTGATAATATAGAGTTAGCACTCTTGACTCTCTGCTCTGGGGACGCAGAAGGAGGAGGCCGGGCAGTCCATCTTATTATTCAGAAGAGGCAGTATGGACTGGAGAATGTGACTACCAGAAGACCAGGAAGGATTGGGGGAATGATTCCTTCCCCCAATTTTCTCCAAAAAGTGGAGAAATAAAAGACATAAAAAAAGATTTTGAACTTCAAGAGATTAAAAATATAGTGGATGGTATTAACAGCAGGTTAGACATAACAGAAGAAAAAATTACTGAACCTGAGACCATAGCAATAGAAACTATTCAAAATAAAATTCTGAGAGAACATTTCATAAAGTGAAGCATCAGTGAACTGTGTGACAACTTTAAGCAGCCTACATAATACACATGAA